TACTCGCTTTTTTGTTACGTGCGGTCACTGGTGCCCATATCCAGCAGTCAGTGTGAAAGAGGCAGGGGACACCCTGGACAGGTCTCCAGTGTCCATCACAGGGACACATAGAGACAAACGAGACAAACAACCATTCACTCTCTCACTCACACCTAGGGACAATTTAGAGTTACCAATCAGCCTAACATGCATGTTTTTGGTCTGTGGGAGGAAATCGGAGCACCCGGAGAAAACCCACGCATGCACGGAGAGAACATGCAAACTCCACCCAGAAAGGCCCCTGGACTGGGATTTGAACCAAGGACCTGCTCGCTGAAAGGCAGCAGCTCTACCAGTTGCGCCACCGTGCTGCCCTACTACGACTTTATTTTTGTAATTTTCTGGCTTTTAAATTTTTTTCTTAGCAGCAATGTAATTTAAAAAAATATATAAAAATTAGCATGGCCCTAAAGCTCCATCGTAGGACGGGAGACTGTGACGAAGTGAAGATTCAATGCGTCTGCTGGCTTCCTTAGATACAGAACTTTACTAATCTGGCTTTTCTATGTATGTGTATTTTCCTGTTCAGTGCTCTGAGACAACTTTGTTGTGATTTGGCGCTATATAAATAAACTGAATTGAACTGCATAGTTCATGCAAGATGACACAAATGTTTCCCGACTGGTGACTTGTCAGTCCTTAACAGACCTTTTGTCAGAATGAGTGCCACAGCATTATTTGAGTTCCCAGCTTTTAACTTCAAAGCTCATTGTCCTCCCTCATCCCAACGCAAACATCTCAAATGTTAACAGCCACTGAGGAGGAACCCCCTCACACCATTACCATACAAGCCAAACACTTCACTTCCCACTCTGGTGCAGTGTTTGACTTGTCTGTCACTTTCAGCCACCCCACAGCATGCACATGTGCACATACACACACACACACACACACACACACACAAGATAAAGGAGATAAGTGGGAGGCGGGTCTATTCCCAAATTAACAAACTATCACTCTTCAGAGCAGCAGAAGAAGAGCAGCCCCGTTGGGTGTCACCAAATGAGTGAGAACCTCCAACATATTGTGTGGAAATACAAAAACGGCCTGAGACCACATTTACACGTGAATAATCTTCTAGATTAACAACAAAAAAGGTTGAATCATGTCATCTGGACTTCGTTTTTTTGTTAAAAAGAAACGTTTCGCCCCTCATCCAAGAGGCTTCGTCAGTCTGAGGCCTAGCCATCTGGAATTACCCAGAAGCCACCCTGACTCTTGTGTTTCAAGCCTGCCTCAGATACCCCTGAAGTCTGGCCTTTTCACTAATGGTTTCAAAAACACAAAGTTTGTTTTCTCAGTCATCCAGGTATATAACAACAAAAAAGGTTGAATCATGTCATCTGGACTTCGTTTTTTTGTTAAAAAGAACAAAAAAACGAAAGTCGAACGAAAAAACGAAGTCCAGATGACATGATTCAACCTTTTTTGTTGTTATA